CCATTCACAAGCTGGCCCCCCAGCTACATCACTAACCTTGTCTCAAAATACCAACCAAATTGTTCTCTTCGTTCCTCCCAAGACCATCCTCAGGAACTCCCTACCCCAATATCTCCGGCTATCTCCTACTCTGTCCACTTTTAGGCAATCCCTGAAAACTGTTCTCCTCAGAGAAGCCCAACCTGCCTCCACCTAACAATTGTACTTTTTATTTTCTCCATCAGCACATCCCCCACAGGTATTACCCTTTATATCACTTGACCCTCCTTTTTTTGATTGTAAGCTCTAATGAGCAGGGCCCTCTACTTCCTCATGTATTGAATTGTATTGCAACCGTACTGTTTGCCCTCACATTATAAAGAACTGCGCAAACTGTTGGCGCTATATAAATCCTGTATGATAATAATAAATAATAAGAATAATTCTTTTGCAATGTGACAACTGTAGACATGTGGTATATGTAATATTTTCAGGCACCAATACCTGTAAACATATCTTCGTGGTAAAGACCAAGGACACATCAACAATCCGTTCCAGAAACATAAGATCTGATAAAATGTTGAAGCAATCACTTGTAGCATACAGAGACACATGCTGAGGGGACTGCTTGGCTAGTCTGGCAGGCTAATGGCAGGAAGTCTGAGCTGTATGAGTTTTATATACTAAATGCTGTTATTACAGGAATGCATGTGAAATCCTATGAGTAATAAAACTCATTAAAATTACAACACGGAAACTAAGGATAATAAGCATGACAGATACACATAACTGAAATCTTAAAAGCATATCATACATATTAGTAATTTTTTTTAAAGAAACACTAATGATTGTACATTTACAATAATAAAAGTGAATATAATGGGTTTTTTGTAATTTGTTTTAGATACACATGTATTATACATCACCATGATAGATATAAACATATCAATTTGAGTTTTGTTATTTGTTCCTAAGAGTTCATACAGACGTGCAGCCAGGGGGCGGTAAAAGCAGGTGGTTGAGCTATAATTTTACCACTCCCAAATCACCCACCTGAACAAGGACATGCAGCTGCTCAAGGCTGTACACATGCCGTGGGCGTAGAGCTTTGCTTCGTGGCTCTGCCAAAAATTAATCTCACCATGTTTGGTAGGCAGTACCACAACCAAATGCAACCCATTTATTGGGGCCGTGGCACAACTGCCCTGCAACTGAGTGCAATGTACATGGCTGCATATTCACCACTTGGCTTTTTATTTTTTGCTAAACAAACGATAACTTTGAAAAAAGAAAAAAGTTTTTCTTAGTTTAGTTGTAAATAAATAATTTTTTTCTTCACTGATGAGCAGTGATAGGCTGAACTGATGGGCACTGATGAGGAGGCACTGTGGAGGCTGCACTGATGTGCGGCACTGATAGCACTGATGTGCACTAATAGGCAGCATTGATGGGCACAAATAGGCAGCATTGATGGGCACTGAGAGGCATCACTGATGGGTATTGAAAGGCAGCACCAATGGGCACTGAAGAGGAGGCACTGGGGAGGCTACACTGATGTGCGGCACTGATGTGCACTAATAGGCAGCATTGATGGGCACTGAGAGGCATCACTGATGGGTATTGAAAGGCAGCACCGATGGGTTCTGAGGAGGAGGCACTGATGTGCACTAATAGGCAGCATTAACGGGCACTGATAGGCAGCATTGATGGGCACTGAGAGGCATCACTGATGGGTATTGAAAGGCAGCACCGATGGGCACTGAGGAGGAGGCACTGATGTGCACTAATAGGCAGCATTGATGGGCACTGATAGGCAGCATTGATGGGCACTGAGAGGCATCACTGATGGGAACTGAAAGGCAGCACCAATGGGCACTGATGGGGCTGCACTAATAATCAGGGCACTTGCTGCTTGACCACTCTCCTCTCCTCACGTGCTGTCAGTGTGAGGAAAGAACTGCCGAAAACCGGCAAGTCCTGTTTACAATGTGATCAGCTGTGATTGGACACACACGGTAAAGGGCCTCTTTGATTGGCCCTTTATCTTGATCTGTGATCAGCTGTGCCCAAAGGACACAACGATCACACAGCATGCCTGATGTGCGCTATGGTGGGTGCATGTGGGGGGCAGGGTTCTGGGAGGATTTTAATAGACGCCCTCCCAACACTGGACAACCATGCTGTAGCCCTCATCCAGCTATAGCACGGTCACATGAGGTTAATTTAAAGCCTAACTTGGGGCTCTGCCTCCAGCCGCCTCCCCTTTTTCCTCGCATGTATGTTACTTTTAATTTTTAATACTTACCTTTTCCAGTATGTCCTATATTGTAAGGCCTGGTTCACACCTATGCATTTTTCAGTGCGTTTTCATTTTTTTGCAGAAACTCACTACAGTCCATTTAACATGGTTTCCTATGGGTCACGTTCGCATACTGCATGTGTGTGTTCTGCCAGTGCGTTTTTTGGAAAGGGTCAGGGACTTTTTTTTCCCGCAGCAGGTTGAGTTTTTGGTTTAATTGGCTTCAATGGAAACGCAGCAGAAATGCATTAATACACATCAAAATAGCAGTGCTTGCATTTTGTATGCATTTCTGCTAAAATTTTTGCTGGTTTCTCCTCAACAGACAACTCCCAGAAAAGCAAAACACATTAAAAACACTAGTGTGAATAAATGCAAAACACACCGAGAAAATGCATCAACCAAAACCTGCATAGGTGTGAACCAGGCCTCAAGGTTGAACAGCAATGGCAGGGGCGGACTGACCATCCGGAAACTCGGGCACTGTCCAAGGGCTCGGGGTCAGTAGGGGGCCCCATGAGATGCCCCTGGTAACTTTTTCATAGGCTTTTTTGAGTTCGGGCAAGGACACAGGGGCCCCATGATCCCCTATTGCCCGGGGGCCCCATGAATTGTCAGCCCACGCCTGCATGGGATATGTAGCCCTTAACACCTTCCCGCCTGGCCTATAGTAAATTGACATCCGGGTGGGACACTCGCCGTTGTGCTGGGCGTCATGTGACGTCCTGTTAAAACTAGCCACTCATGTCCACGGGACACAGCCGATGATATATCACTACACCGGCCCGTTGCCAGTGTCATGTGACCGCTGTGACCAATCACATCAGATCACATGTCAATTGTATACAATGGATGGCTTCCTGTCATGCCATTCATTGTATACAATTATGTTGTTAGCTGTGACTGGTCAAGGCAGTCACATGATACAGACAGGGCCAATCACAGCCCATCTGTATCATGTGATCAGCTTTGCCCAATCACAGCTAATCACAACAAAAGACTGAATGAATCAGTTTCAATCAGTAACAATGATTGCAAATAGCAATTAAATTAAAAGTGATGTCATGTATTGTATTGTATTTGTATTGTATTTTCGGATGACTATTGTACTGATTAAAGAAAAATCGTACGATCTGGTATCGTATGAGAAAAATTTTTGCTCTTGTCCCTTCGGATATTGTCGCACAAATTGTCGTGATCGGCTCTCAAAAGCTGTGTACTAACGATCCGATTATCTTATAGTGTGTACAGAGTATTAGACTGGGTCTTGTGATAGAAGGAATTACTGTGGAGCAGAAAAGGAGAGGAAGCACATATCGCAGCCTCAGTTGTTTTTACGTTTATGTGGCAGCTTTGAAAAAAAATACCTGGAGTATAATGTACATAATGAAATAATAGCTCAAAAGATGTGCGTTAGCTGGAAATGCCTTCCCTGTAAAAAGAAAAGAGCTGAGAAACATGCATTGCAAGCCATCTCTGAGCTTTGCAGAATAATGCTGTGAGGGATATAACTTTCATACTAGGCTTGCTAAGAATTAAATAGTAGCCCAACAACCATGTCCATGGGAGATATCAAGGTTCTACAGAATCGAGTAAAAGTGTCTGATGAATCAACTGTTTGTGATGCCCGTAGCAATTCATCTCCCTTTGTTTTCTAACCTGTCCCACAAACAGCTTTTTCAGAACAAAAGACCAGATATAAAACTAGAAATACAATAATATGAAAAAAATGTTCCTTGTAGAGAAAGAAAATAATAATTTCTAAAACCCAGATTGTGATGCTTAATGGTGTACAGATCATAAACATGAGAATTGTAAAGTCTCTACACTGTGACATCTGCTTCATTAGAGCCTAAGTCCTCATGCACACTGGTCACTTTTACAGCCACTGTTTCTGGCTTTTGATGTTTTTTTCTACAGCCAGTAAACTCCCCAGTATGTTATCCTATGTGTCCGTGCACACATAGGCATTAATCAGCGTTTTTTGGCAGGTGCGTTTTTTGGCTGGAAAAAAAAACCCAGGACTAGTGGGTTTCTAGAGGAGTTTTTTAGCTGTAAAAACGCTCTGACGCTGAAAAACGCGGCATAAGGCGTTTAAAATGCGGCAAACCGGTATTTTGGACCTTTTTTTAGCAAAACTTTTTTCCAGCAAAACTTTTTTTCATGTAAAAAAAAAGCTCCAAAACGCTGAAAAACTTGCATTTTTAACGTGACTTTACACAGCTAATGCTACCAGCGTTATTAAAACGCCCAGTGTGCATGGAGCCTAATAAGTCCAGTATAAAGTTTTAAAGTATAACTAAAGGCAAAACTTTTTTTTTTTCGTTTTGGATAAAGTAGAGAGGTATTAGTACACGTCAGCTTTTATTGCTGTCTGTGTCCCCGTAAAGGAAATTCACCCATCTCTGTTTGTCCTGTTTACCATTATCATTGAAAGTGAAAGTAAAAGAAAATCGCTCATTTTGGGTTGTCCTCAGAACAGTAAGAGAGGAGAAATCTTACACTGAGGACACTAGTTCTACTGATTTTGGGGTCCCCAAGTAATTCTCTTAACCTGCAGGGATTTCCTCTCACTTCCTGTTTGGCTATGGGACAAGGAGTGAAGGGAAATCTCCGTAATGGGACACAGATGGCGAAAAAAAAATCTGACTGGGGTTATAACCCTTCATTAGCCCCGGTTCAATTATATGCGGCTGTCCGGGCCGCGTTTTGCATGGGCACAAGAGCCCCTTCATTTGAATGGACTCCCGTGCCCCATGACACACAGAGACGAAGTCCCTGCACTTCTTCTGAAAACGCAGCCCACGCGGGAACCTCGGTTCCCAGTACAGTTGCATTTTCCAGTGCGGGCGGCGTGGCGTTAGAACTAATGACACTCACCCGCGGGTCTGCATTTCTCTGTGCAGGTGGTGCGGCTGCACGGATTTTTGTACAGATCCGCAGTGGCACCACCTAGCCTTACTACTCTATACAAAATAAAAAAAATAAGTTTTGCCTACAGTTCTACTTCAATCACAAGTCGGTTAACAGAGATAAAGCACGTTTAGACACATGGGTGAAACTGTTACAACAAGTATCATGCTCTGCACTGCAATTTGTGAAAAAAGAACAATTAAAGTGGTTGTAAGCAAACCCTTACATATACCCAGTGATGTAATCGGCCTCATGTGATACACGGACATGAAACAAATCCTCCTACATAAGTTTTGCCTGTTTATCTGCAGTCTTCTCTTCGCTACATCCATTCTAAGTGCTGAATTTATAAAGCTTGTCTGAGCTGTCAGAAAAAAGGGGTCGGAGAGCTGAAATTACACTCTGCAGAGCTTAGTGAGGAGAGCTAATTGGAGGGAAGGGACACATCCCTTTCACACAGCACAGTGACTAATGCTGATATCAGAGGAACAAAGAGGCAGAAAGAAATACACTTAATGCTCTGGCTTGAGACAAGTACACACTATAGGGGGATATGCTTTGTTTTATGTTTAAGGTTACAACCACTTTAAAGTAAAGCAAGAGATAAAACTATTTATTTTTTTTACATATATTGGAGACAAATATGAGGATAAGGTTATTGTTGTACCAGCCAGTTATAAAGCAGTATAATTGGGCAAGCAACAGACTTACCTCTGACAACCTGAAAGTACTAAACAACTGAATGACAGATATATATATATATATATATATATATATATATATATATATATATTTTGTGACAGTGTGGCGATCTGTCACCCAGGATTCTCAGCAAGGCAGGTTGAGGGACTCCAGGGTAAGTGTTTGATACGGAGGAAAGTGGCTTTTCACTGTCCTCCTTTGTTTGTAAGGTCTGTTTTGGGATCTGGAGCCTGGAGATTTCAAAGAGATCTGGGAGGGATGAAATCTCCAATCCTGGGACCAGGTTTTGGGAATGGCCAGGAGACTGATTGCACAGGTGTGTGCAGGCCTTTTCATAGAGTCAGGACCAGGGTTCTGGGCTCCACCCCGGCAGATAGGAGTCAGGAGGGCTCCACCTGGAAGACAGGAGTCAGGAGGGCTCCACCAAGGAGAGGTGGAAGCCAATAGCAGCAAGGGGCTGCTAGAGACTAGCTGTGTGCTAGTGGCCAGCTGTGTGCGAGAGCCATATTTTTGAAAGAGTCTGCAGGAGACAGACGTAAGCCTGAATAGGAAGGCCAGCAGAAGATTGTGTATATCTGAGAGAGCCAGGAGGCTGAATTTTGTTTATGTGGATGATAGATACCCCTGTGTGGGAAACTTTTGATGTTTTGAACTTTCATTTAAATAAAAGTGGGCTAAAAAGGCCCTGAAAAATAAGCGAGTTGCTGTGTGCGTTTAACCAAGCTCTACCATTTGAATCGAGTTCCCACAATATATACACAGTGCTCAGCATCAATGAGTACACCCCTTTTGAAAAGTAAGATTTTAATCAATATCTCAATGGATACAAGAACAATTTCCATAATTTTGACAAAACTGAGTTTTATAGAACATTTGTTTAGCTCATTACATGAAAGTAAGGTTAATAATATAACTTAGATTACAAAATCTTCAGTATTACTCAAATTAGTTGATGCAAAAATGAATACACCCCACAACAAAAACTACTCTATCTAGTATTTTGTATGACCTCCATGATTTGTAAGGACAGCACCAAGTCTTCTAGGCATGGAATTAACAAGTTGGCGACATATTGCAACATATATCTTTTTCCATTCTTCAAGAACTACCTCTTTTAGAGTATGAATGCTGGATGGAGAGTGATGCTCAACTTGTCTCAGAACTTGTTTCAGAATTCCCCATTGGTGTTCGTTTGGGTTCAGATCAGGAGACATACATGGCCACTGAATCACTTTCACCTTGTTCTTCTTCAGAAATGCAACAGTTGTGTTAGATGTGTGTTTTGGATCATTGTCATGTCAGAAAAGTGCACAACGACCAAGGGCACGGAGTGATGATAGCATCTTTTGTTTCAATAGAGAGCAGTACATCTGTGAATTTATGATATCATCAATTAAATGCAGCTCCCCGACACCAGCAGCACTCATGCAGCCCCACAGAAGGACACTGTCACCACCATGTTTCACTGTAGGCACCATGCATTTTTCTTTGTACTTCTCACCTTTGCAACACCATACAGTTTTGAAGCCATCAGTTCCAAAAACATTTATCTTGGTCTCATCATTCTAGATTATAGAGTCCCAATAGTCGTCTTCTTTTTCAGCATGGGCCCTGGTAAATTCTGGGTGGGCTTTTTTATGCATGGGCTTTAGGAGAGGGTTCCTTCGTGGATAACACCCATGCATGCCATTCCTCTGTGGTGTATGTCGTATTGTGTCACGGGAAACAATCACCCCAGTTTGGCTTTCTATTTCTTTAGCTAACTGCAGTGAACTTGCATGGTGATTATCTTTGACCCTTCTCGTCAGAGGACACTCCTGTCGAGGTGTTAACTTCCATGGATGGCCTGGACGTCTCAGTGAGATGGTTGCAGTTCCATCTTTGTTAAATTTTTGTATCACTTTTGCTGCAGTATTCTGACTGATAAGTAAAGCTTTGCTGATCTTCTTGTAGTCTTCACCTTTCTTGTGTAAAGAAATTATTTTCTTTCTTAGGCCTTGTGACATTTCTCTTTCATGTGGTACCATTGCTAACAGCATGACATGGGAAGGGGTTTTCTTTGTTAAGTAACGCCCTTTTATAAACAACTGTCTGCTGGACACCTGTTTAATGAATAATTAGACTCACCTGTAGTTGAATTCTTGTTAATTAGGATTTTGTTGTCTAAAATGTAGCTTTGCTCCTAAGACCTACTTTGGGTTGTATACATTTTTTCAACATGGTATTGAATGAATTTGGTAAGAAAAATACTTCTTTGTATGTGCAAATTAACAAATCTTGTTTGCAATCAATGGCCCACATATGTGGTACTATTTTGTAGTATAGTGTCCAATAGAAAATGTTGATTCTGAAAGTAAAGGTTTGTTGACAAATCTGTTGGAGTGTACTCATTTATGCTGAGCACTGTATATATATATATATATATATATATATATATACTGTATATGTATTTATTTATTACAGGTACTTATATAGTGCTGTCAATTTATGGTCCCTAACTCACATTTAGGCATACATATATTAGGGCCAATTTAGACAGGAGCCAATTAACCTACCAGCATGTCTTTGGAGTGTGGGAGGAAGCCAGAGTACCTGGAGGAAACCCACACAGGGTCAGGGAGAACATGCAAACTCCAGGCAGGTGGTGCTGTGGTTGGGATTTGAACCAATGACCCTAGTACTGCCAGGTGGAAGTGCTAACCATTTAGCCACTGTCCTGCCCTATATACAGGTGAAACTTGAAAAATTAGAATATCGTGCAAAAATTCATTTATTTCAGTAATCCAACTTCTTTTGCAATTACCTTTTGAGGCTTTCCCTCCTTATGGAGGGTGTCAATGGTGATTTTTTGCACAACTGTCAGGTCAGCAGTCTTTCCCATGATTGTGACTCCTACTGAACCAGACTGAGAGACGATTTAAAGGCTCAGGAACCCTTTGCAGGTGTTATGGCTTAATTAGCTGATTAGAGTGGGACACTTTGAGCCGAGAATATTGCACCTTTTCACAATATTCTAATTTTCTGAGATTGTGGATTTGGGGTTTTCATGAGCTGTAAGCCATATAATCATCACAATTATGACAAATCACAGCTTGAACTATCTTGCTTTGCATATAATGAGTCTATCTCATATATTAGTTTCACTTTTTAAGTTGCATTACTGATATAAATGAACTTTTGCACGATATTCTAATTTTTCGAGTTTCACCTGTATGTACATACACATACAAGTTATACAACTACCATATTATGCATGCAGGCAGCTTATCTGAGTGAATGGGAACACAGTGGCTGCATGGACGCAGCCACTTGTCCCAATTTGACAGGTGTGCAGGTGTGGATGAGTGGCCCCTAAAACACATTGTCTTTATTTGGGGGTACTCCCCAGGACCTCTACACCTATCAAATTGGGACAGAAGGTTATGTCTAATCACAGTCTACAGGCTTCAGCGCCCATGCTGATAAGATTTATACTCTTGCAGATAGAAATATGATATACACTAAAACTGTATTATGCCCTGGTACCCAACCTGTGGCCCGAGGGCAGCACGCAGCACCTGGGTATATAATGTGTGGCCCTTGGATCTCAGCAGTCTGTAGTGGGAACATTGATTAGGGTTCTACCATTGATCTCTAGTAGCCTCATGTAACACCTTTCCAGTTTTGTATTGTCTTCTGCAGCATATCCCCAGCCCACAAATTTTGCATTTCCACACTCTCTGACCCTCATTTCCTCTCTCAGGTCGGCAGTCCCAAACATTACATATATTGAACATTATGTGTGGCTCTTTGGTGATGTCAGGGACCACACATTTGAGGTCTCCTTTAGCTGATCAGATGACAACCACAGGTATACAGCTATAGATAGTGTATGTAGTATACATCGTTATACAGCATTACATGCCTAACATTTTATTTTCTATTATAAAACCTAAAAGTCTAAAATATTTAATCATTTAAATAAAGCAAACAACGATCAGACAAAGAACATCCCCCGGATTAATCAGGTAATTTTCGATAATTGCCATTAAAGCCAATGACAAACAAGACAAATTCCTAGCTATTAAAGCAATAATAATTTAGCTACAAAAATAAAACTGCTTAGCCGGTTCCTTTACATTTTCGGAATATAAAGCTGAGTCTTTTACAACAAGATCTTATCTACATATAGCTCATATTGATCTGCGAGTAGGGTCAGTGCCCATTTATCGTAATTATAAGAACAGGAGATCAAATGTATTTCCCTTTCCAAAGTGGTTTGACGAGAGCTTATTCTTTTGTAAGTGAACACATTAAAAAAATCTATGTCATCATATGAAAGCTGAAATCACTGCATTAAAATAATATAAATTGACTACTACTTAACTGAGAAGCCTAAGCAATAAGCATTACTCAGGTACCAAAAAAATCACATTTGTAATTGAATTAAATAGCCTTTTAAAAACTCTGACGTGGACAGAAGAATAAATTGATGTTCTATTAATAACTTTAAATCACCATGTGCATTGTGCCAAGAAGTGTTGACAATATCCACTTCAAGGTCACTGTCAGCTTGGTAAGTCATTACCAAATAAAATATGGCTTAATTGAAGCAAACTCAGCAAGGAGCTGCATTATTTTAAGTGAACATTGTAATATAACTCCAAGAAG